TTTGTTGGATTTAAATTTTCTTTTACAAATGAATCTATGTCCTCTATTGTACCTTCAATGCCTGAGATTCTCTCTTCCATGTCTTGTAGTCTGTTGTTTATGCTTGCATCTGTGGTTCCTGGTCATTTACTAGATTTTCCATTTCCAGAATTCTTTTGGTTTGTGTTTTCTTTATTGCCTCTATTTCAGATTTCATATCTTGAATAGTTTCCTTCACTTGTTTGATTGCTTTTTCTTGGTTTTCTTTAAGGGGTTTGTCGTTTTCTTCAATTTTTTGTTTGTCTTTTCCTCCATTTCTTTAAGAGAATTTTTCATTCCCTCTTTAAGGGCCTCAATAATCTTCATGAAGTTATTTTTTAGGTTGTTTTCTTCTGTTTCATCTGCGTTGGGATGCTCAGGTCCTGCTGTTATAGCAACACTAGTTTCTAGTGATGTGGCATTGTACTTTATATCGTTGAGTGTGTTCTTACCGTGTTGTCTACACATCTCTTCCTCTAATCTGTATAGGTGGAGCTTGTGCTTCAGGGGGTCTCTCTTTCTCCAGTTGTTGTAGTTGGAGGTTGTGGCTCTGTTGACCACTCCTTCAGGTGCAAGCAGAGCAGAGCCTCCGATGATTACTCCTCCTGGTGGAAGTCTGTGCAAGGCTCAGGTGTCTCTTCTTAAGGTGCAGGTGGGGCTACAGCTCCGCTGGACAGATGCTCTTCCTGTTGGAGGTGGGGCTATGGCTCTGGTGATTGCTCCTTGAGGTATAGGTGGGGCTGAGGGTCCAGTGGTCGCTGTAGCAGTGGGGTATTTCCAGCCAAGAAGTGGCAGTGGATACTGGCTGGGACACAGGTGCTCTTTCCCAGAGGAACTTCTTTCGATAGCTTCTGGAAGCCGGAAGCTGCTGCTGTGGTCTCACCCACTGGGCCTGAAATTCAGGCCTCCCTCTCAATAAATAAACCTTTAGAATTATGTTTATTTATTGTATGTATGTGCACATACAAACTCTGTATGTGTTGGCATGGTTCCACAATTAGTTTCTTTGAAGTTTGTGATTGTGTAAGCATACCCAGTTTATTATATTTTTTGGAGGGTGGGGAAGTAACATCCCTGCATGTGCATTTAGAAGTCAGAGAGTGATGTCAAATGTCTTCAGCCATTCTCAATCTTATTTTTTTAAAGATTTATTTATTATGTATACAGTGTTCTGTCTGCATATATGTCCACAAGCTAGAAGAAGGCACCAGATCTCATTATAGATGGTTGTGAGCCACCATATGGTTGCTGGGAATTGAACTCAGGACCTCTGGAAGAGCAGTCAGTGCTCTTAACCTCTGAGCCATCTCTCCAGCCCTCAATCTTATTTTTTGAGACAGGCTATATCACCAAGCTTGGAGGTTGCTAATTTAGGTTGTTCAAGAGAGTCTCCAGTTTCTTCTTCTCTGGTGCTAGGATTCCAGGCCATGGGAGAGCCCAACTCATTTTTGAACAGCAAGCTCTTTGCCTGCTGAGCCATCTCTCCAGCCCTTTGTTTACTTTTATTTGTGTGTAACTGAGCCCTTAGAGGTCAGAAGAGGGTGTTGGATCCCTGGAACTACAGTTACAGACTGGAAACTAAACTCATGTCCTCTGCAAGAACAGAGTACCCTCCTAATGGATGACCCAACTCTCAAGCTCTGCCTATTGTGGGGTTTTTGTTTGTTTTGAGACAAGGTCTCTTGTGTCCCAGGTTGCCCTCAAAGTTGCCGGGTAACCAAGAATGACCTTGAATTCCCGATCTGCCAGCCTCTACCACCCCAGTGCCGGGATTCCAGGTGTACGCTGCCATACCTGGCTCAGATTCTTAATTTTATGAAGTCTTGATTAGAGGACAAGCCTCCTTCCTTTGTGTCCATGCTGTGGAGAATGCATTCCTCAGCACATTGGTACAGAGCAGAACGTTTGCTGGGCTCGTGGCCTCTCTTTCTTGGGACACCACTCTCATCTGAAAGGCAAGCTCTCGCTATGTGGCAGCCGTTTCCCCACACTGGATGAAGAGCAACTGGCAATACTTAAATTATAGCATTCTGGCTTCTATGTAAGAAATTAGAATTTGAGGAAATTTGTATTTTCACTATGAGCCTGACAGCTTACAAACAGGAGACAGGCAATGATGGGACAAAAGCAACTCAAAAAAAATTTTTTTTTTTGGTTTTTACAAGACAGGGTTTCTCTGTATTGTTTTGGAGGCTGTCGGTCCAGCCTGGCCTCGAACTCACAGAGATCCGCCTGCCTCTGCCTCCCAAGTGCTGGGATTAAAGGCATGGGCCACCACCGCCCGGCTCAAAAATTTTTTAAATGGTGGAATAACTTAAGCATCATAAAAGATCTACATATACTAAGGAAAGTATTTCTTAAATAAAAATCTAGTGTGCTTGCTGTCATAAAACACTAACCTAAAGCAACTTGGGGAGGAAAGGGTTTTGGGGGTTTTTGTCGTTGTTTTTCTTGGTTTTTTTTTTTTTTTTTTTTTTTTTGGTTTTTCGAGACAGGGTTTCTCTGTGTAGCTTTGGAGGCTGTCCTGGAACTTGCTCTGTAGACCAGGCAGGCCTTGAACTCACAGAGATTCGCCTGCCTCTGCCTCCCGAGTGCTGGAATTAAAGGCGTGCGCCACCACCGCCGGCTGTTTTTTTTGTTTGTTTTGTTTTTTGCTTCTCGGTTATGTCCATCATTGAGGGAAGCAACCTGGAGGTAGGAACTAAAGCAAAGACCTTAGAACACAATTCGCTGGTCCCTTCCCCAACTTATTTGGCTGCCTTTCTTATGTAGCCCAGGCCTACCTGCCTAGGGATAGCACTGCCCTTGGTTTGTGAGGCACTCCTACGGCCCACAGGCCAGTCTGATGGAAGTAATTCCTCAGCTGAGGCTCCCCCTTCCCTGGTGTTCGGTGTTTCAGCAGCTGAGACTACCTGACACCAGTGAATAACACATAATCCTGCATATGTAAAAGTTCCATTTGCTATGCAAGGTGGACTGGTAGGTTTCACTCTAACGGTTGTGGATAGTTTTTTGCTGTGGCTGCTGGTATCATTTGGTCCCTAGTCTTTGAGAAACTATGTGGTGCAAGGAAGAGATCCAGTTATCTGCAAAGGCCATTGAACTATTCTTCTTAGGGCTGAGAATGTGGGTTCGTGTAGAGTGAGTGCCTAGTATGCCAGGGTCATAGAGTCCACCCACAGCAGCCCCCCCCCCCCCCCAAAAAGGTAAAGACTTCACCAGGTGCATGAACACCTGTTATACCAGGACTTGAAAGGTGTAGAGGTAGAACTCGGGACTTTGACATCGTAGTGAATATAGGGCTAGCCTGGGCTATAAAGAGAAACACTACCATAAAATAAACAAACAAACAAATCACACACACACACACACACACACACACACACACACACACCGCACGCACGCACGCACGCACCCACGCAGTGATGACAGGCTGGGTCCTCCCTGTTCTCACTGCCTGCCTGAGTGCGGTTGACTTTTTCTCTGACTCACCTGGTGGTCAGCGATGGCTGCAGACTGAACACAGAAACAGCCTGTCTTCTGTGAAGCCGCCCTTCCTCCTATTGTGTTTGGTTTAGAAAACTCCAGTTTGTAAGCAGAAAAACAATGTCATTTATGTAAACATGTGATGTGCTTGTGGTTGCTATGTAAGTGAATCAATACTTTAAACAATGTCTCCATAATTTCACATAAAATAGTAATAAATATAATCCATGTAAAGGCTCCTTAGTGGCCTCGATAAATTTAAAGAGGACAAAGGGTCTGTAGGGCTGCAGTCATGTGAGCCCAGGCAAAAGGAAGGGCTTGTTTGTTACATTTTATCTATGCCACTCTGTGCATGTGGAGGTCAGAGGGCAACTTATGGGAATCAGTTCTCTTCCACCTTGGGGGTCTGGGGAGCGACTCAGTTGGAGGTGAGTGTCTTTATCTCTTGAGCCATCTCAGGCCAGGGAGTTTTTGTTTGTTTTGAGACAGTATTGGCCTTGAATGCTTGGCGATCCCTCTATTTCAACCTCCCAGCTGCTGGGTTGCAGGCTGCCCCACTAGGTTGCTTTAGGAAGGACTATGTTCTTGATAACAACACCATCCTCACTGGGGCCTGGAATGCTTTTTAAGGACCATTTACAATGTTTGCTCACAAAGCAGTCTTTTTAAGATTTGGAATTTCTTCTCATTAAATTTTCCACATTTTAGTCAAGAATGTAAGTGGGCCGGTTGCTTTTTCATCTGTTTTGAATTTTCCTCTGGCTGCCTTGTCCTGTGATAGTAGCTGCAGGGTGTGGTCCCTTCAGGGATGCCTTAATCCTACAGAGGATGCTGCTTGGAGGCAGCAGGCATTCATTTTCTTGTTACTAGTGAAGGCTTTACTGTGAAGATCCTCTGTTCTGTTTGATTCCAGTTTGTTTTTGTTTTTATTCTTTTTTGAGACAGGGTTTCTCTGTCTTTGTGTAGCCCTGGCTGTCCTAGAACTCATTCTGTAGACCAGACTGGCCTCTGCCTCCTGAGTGCTGGGATCAAAGGTGTGCGCCACTGTATCCGGCTGGATCCTGTTCTTTGAGAAAGGGCTTTGGTACAGTTTGCAAAACGGTCTGATAACTGATAACTATGGAAAACCCATTGTTGAAGACTGTGGAGTATCTCTGTTGGTACAGTGATTGCCTAGCATACACAGAAGCCCTGGGTTTGATTGTCAGTACCAGCTTGGCTATGCGTGCCTCTAATTGCAGCATGTGGGAAGTTGAGGAAGGAAGATCAGGAGTTCAGGGTCATCCTGGCTACATGGGGAGTTTGAGCCCAGACTGGGCTACGTAGAACACCCTGTCTCAAACTGAAGCCAATGAAAGCATATTATTAGTCAGTCAGTTTTAAGGTAGACTAAGTTCTTTGTGGAAGGGTTTCTTGGGGGAACTGGGCACTTTGACCGACATGTGTGTTGTGGATTGGACTCAGGTGTTCTTGTTGTCAAGGCAAACATGTTGTTATTCACAGAGCCATCACCCTAGCTTTTATTTTTAACTAAATCTAACTGATAGATCAAGAAAGGGTCACTGACCAGCAGAGCACTTTGGAGAAGTCCTGAGTGCTAGGAGCCGTTCATTCATAACCATCACTTGAGTTCATTGTGTATTTTCCTTCTCCAGTTGTTTACAGAGACCTGCCGTCCGGTTTACCCTGCTCATTTGCTCAACAACCATCCTCTGTAGAGATAACATAAATAAATAATGTTCTCAGCAGTGTTTCTTAAAATGGAATCTGGGAGAGGTGTGGGATAGATTAAGAAGTAAAAAGTGATAAATGTTTACGTCTTTGCCCCTCCCCCCTTTAAATAACAACATTTAAAAAGTTTGGTTATTAGTGCTTTGCAGGGGTTAGTGTTCGTGAGAGTCATTTCGTGAGAGTGTCTTTAGTTGATATTGTTCTATGCACCTGGCTGGGAGCGAGCAAGACTAAAGCAGTTAAACTAGATACGGTGACTGTAAGACAGTAATCACAGCATTTACTGTCAGCTTGACACCCGACAAGGAAGTCTCACTTGAGGGAAATGTCCACACCAGATTGACTTGTGGGCATTATTATGGTGCTTATCTTGATTGCGAATTGATTTAGGAGGGTCCAGCCCACTGTGGGTAACACTGTCCGCTAGACCGATGGTCCTGGGGAAAGCATGGTAAGCATGAGTGTGTGAGAAAGCTAGCCAGAGTGCTCCTCCATGGTTCCTGCCTTGACTTCCTCAGGGATGGGTTGTGACCTGGGGTATAGGGGAAATCCTACACTTTCTCCTCTCTGTTGCCTCTGGTCTGGGTGTCTTATCACAGCAACAGGAAGGAAACTAGGACACATGGCTGGTTGACTCAAGGCTGATGGAAAAGTGAGCTGAAAGAAATCTCAGCTCCGCTCGGCACTCGACAACGCTGCGTTGTGTTTGAAGACGCTGAATCACTCACCAGGAATCAAAGGACGAGAGGAAGCTTTTAGAAGGAGGATGTGTATTTGTGGGGTAGATTGTGGTCGGTCTCTTGGGTGCATACTTACTTTCAGACTCTTCAGGTTATGTATGTTAAGTGTGTATAGCTCTTGTTGCTGCTGCCAGAGTTTCACTATGTTGCTTAGGCTGGCCTTGAATTCCTGGGCTCATGTATTCTTCCCGTATCAGCTTCCTGAGGGGTGAGATTGTGAATGTATATATCACGGTTCTGACCAAAGATGTGTAGCCTCTTGGACTCTGGGACACCACAAAAACATGGCCCACAGAATCAACTGCCTGGGATTCTCTTTGGGGCTTATAGATCTGGGAAATTGTTCAGGGGTCTGACCTAAGTCCTATGCATATGTGTTATGATTGAGTAGCTTGGTGTTCTTGTGGGGTTCCTAACAGTGGGAATGGAGGCTGTCTCTGACTCTTGTCTGCTCTCGGGGCCCTTTTCCTCCTTCTGGGTTGCCTCATCCAGCCTTAATATGAGGGGATGTGTCTAGTCTTATTGCCATGTTTGGTTATATTCCTGGGAGAATTTCCATTTTCTGAAGTGAAATGGAGGAGGAGTGGAGCCAAGAGAGAGGGAAGGTGGGAGGAGAGGCTGGGGAGGGGAACCATCACTCAGGATGTAATACATGAGAGTTTGCCTTTTTAAAGATAGTTTTGCTTTGTTTATTGAGACAGGGTTTCTCTGTGTAACAGCTCTGGCTGTCCTGGAACTTGCTTTGTAAGCCAGGCTGGCCTTGGACTCACAGAGATATGCCTGCATTTATGAGTGTAGGTTTGGGCACAACAGCACGGTGCCTGAGGAGGTCAGAAGCAGCCTGAGATCCCCTGAAGTTACACAGGGCAAAGTGGATGCTGAGACTAGAACACGTGGCCTCTGCAAGAGGCGCTCTTAACCACTGGGCCATCTCTCCAGCCCGCAAGAGGGGATCTTAACCACTGGGCCATCTCCAGCTCACCCTCCCCTCTTTTTTGAGATGGGGTCTCTTTTTTTTTTTTTTTTTTTTTTTTGGTTTTGCGAGACAGGGTTTCTCTGTGGCTTTGGAGGCTGTCCTGGAACTCACTTTGTAGACCAGGCTGGCCTCGAACTCACAGAGATCCGCCTGCCTCTGCCTCCCAAGTGCTGGGATTAAAGGCGGGCGCCACCAACGCCCGGCTTGAGATGGGGTCTTATGGAGTCCAGGCCTTTTTCATATTTGCTAAGGATGGCCTTAAGCTTCTGATCCTCCTGCCTCCACCTTCTGAGTGCTGAGACTACAGATGTGTGCTCTCACACCCAGTCCGTGAGGAACCCGGGGCTTCATGTGCGCTAGGCAAGCACTCCACCAATTGAGCTCCAGCCCAGCACTGTGCCAGCGTCGACCATAGCGCAGGGAAAAGGCTGGGAAGAACAGCTGAAGTGTCGTTTATACATTGGCTTGACCCTCCCCACTTCGCACGTCTTGGTGAAACCAGGCAGGGACTCTGGGCACACTAGGGGCCCACAGTAGAGCCGCTGAGACTGTTGGTGGCCTGTGTCAGTGAAATCCTCTCTGAAGTCGTCGTCCCCCCATCCCCCCCCCCCCTACCAAGGCAGCAGCACACTTCCCATCTGACCTGGCTGGATACTCGTCCTGGGTTGACTAATGCATTCTCTGGCTCTGTTCCACCGCTCTCCGGCTCCACTTCCTGGGCCAGTCCTCCTTGCTGCTCTTGTGTAGCTGCCACCCTCTGGCATCGGATCTGTGGCTGTCCTTCCAGACCTGTCCACTCCCCGGCATCCTTCTGTGAACTCAGTCCACCTATGCTTCCCGGCTCTGTCGTGCACACCAAACCCTCGATTCGCCTGGCCAAACTGCATAGAGTCTCCCTGCCTGTCAGAACTATTTATTTGCACTCAGGAAGCAGAACCCAGGTCACCCTGCAGCCCTTCCCCCTCGCTTAGAGTCTGCAGCCAACATGTCGCTTACAGTAGCATTTGCCAAGTGTCTCCAAAATGGCTCCCTCCTGCTCTCACTTCTCAGATCATTAGTACAGTCTCCTGGCCCCTGTCTCACGTGATCCCACGCAGAGCTGTGGCCACACTCTTGCAAGAGCAGTTTGTGCCTTTTAGAGTCTGAGCTCCGTCACTGTGCACTGCAGGCCTTGGGTAACCTGACCCTACGCTGTCTCCAGTGTCGTCACCCCTGCCCATTCTCTGGTGCCCTCCCACCCTCACCTGCATTCAAAGGGGACAAATCCATGTCTTAACCGTCTCTGCAGCTGTGTGTCACCAGGCTGGCATGCCTGCCTGTCTTGCAAGAAACACTGCAAGGTGTGGCTTACCCCTGCCCAGTTCTGGTTCACTGGATCCAACCACTGTTTGTGGCACACAGTGTAGCAAAGTCTACATTGAGCCGTTTTACTCATTTGGAACATGCCGAATTTCATAACCCTTCCCTGCCACTTCCTTTCTCCACATTTAAGCAGCCAGTTCTTTCTTTAAAAAAATAGTGGGTGTGATGATACACGTTTTTAGTCCCAGCGCTCCTGAGACAGTGATCTCCTGTGATCTCCAGTGATCTCCAGCCCAGCCAGGGTTATCTAGTGAGACCCTGTCTCAATATAAAAGGAGAGGGGAGGGCTGGAGGGATGGCTCAGCAGTTAGGAGCATTGGCTGCTTTTCCAGAGGACCGGGATTTGATTCCCAGCACCCACATGGTGGTTCCTAACTGCCTGTAACTCCAGATCCAGGGATCTGAGACCTTCTGGTTTGCGTGGGCACCAGGCACACATGGTAGGCTTACATATGCACAGGCAAAGCACCCATCTACATAAAACAAATATGGAAAATTATTTTTATTTATTATGTATGTGTATTCACATATATATGAAGGTGTTTTGGGTTCTAGAAAGAGTTTCTGATCCTCAAGAGCTAGAATTTTGCCTGTGGACTGCCTGGCATGGGTGCTGGGAATCAAATTCTGGTCCTCTGCAAGCGTTCTTAACTACTCTGAGTGATCCCATCTGCCCTAGTGGGCTCTTGTGTGTGTGTGTGTGTGTGTGTGTGTGTGTGTGTGTGTGTGTGTGTGTGTGTGTGTGAGAGAGAGAGAGACAGACAGACAGACAGACAGACAGAGACAGAGAGAACTGTCAGCTTTTGGCATTCGAGACATTTTCGTTTGTAATGGAACATTAATTATATATAGAAGTCATGCGCCTAAAAGGAAGAGAGAGCAAGGAAGCAAGGATGAATGGGTCACAGATCCTGACTCTGAACCTTGCTCAATCCAAATTTGGTGATGCTGATGTAAAGCGTTCAACAGAAAAGCCCCCGAGTGTCATCATGGAAAATGTTAGAGCCACTTTCCTGAATCGGTGAATGATGAGAGGGTTGCTCCCTGGAACTGGGAGCTTCAGACAGAAAGAGACAATAAACTCCCCCCTCTCTCTCTTCAAACAGGATCAGTTTGACAACTTAGAAAAACATACGCAGTGGGGCATCGATATTCTTGAAAAGTACATCAAGTTTGTCAAGGAGAGGACTGAGATTGAGCTCAGCTATGCCAAGCAGCTCAGGTAAGATGGCCGGGAGGGTGGCTGTGGCCCTGCATGTGTGAGAAAGGAAGGCTCACTTCTCTTTTTTATTAAAATGTTTTATTGCATTTGTTTATTTTAGGGCAGGGGAGTGTATGTGCTGTGTGCTTGTGTGGCCATCAGAGTACAACCCCAGGAGTTGATTTTCTCTCCTTCCCTGGTGTGGGTTCTGGGGATTGAACTCAGGTCATCAGGCTTGGCTGCAAGCCTTTTTACCACCCCAACTCGTCATGCCATCTTGCCAGGCAGATGCAAGCATGATTTCTATTCTCATTTCACAGTGTGTGTGTGTGTGTGTGTGTGTGTGTGTGTGTGTGTGTGTGTGTGTGAGATCTTTTCTGGTAAAGTAATATGTCACTGGAAATAAACAGCTGTTTTTTAGTATAGGAAATTAATTTTTTCATAGGACAGTAAAAATAAAAAATGAAGCCATTGCTTTAGTTTATTCAATTTTCTCTTTGAGACAAGGTCTCATGTAACCCAGGCTAGCCTTGAATTCACTATATAGTGGAGGCTAGCCTTGAACTCCTGATCCTCCTGTCTCTAGCGCCTGAGAACCAGGTTTACAGGTGTGAGCTGCTGCTCCGAACTGAAGTCCTTGCTGTCAGACACTGTTTTGTTTTGTTTTCTTTTGGTCTGCTTTGCTTTGCTGTGCTTCCGAAGTCAGGGTCTCGTGCCTCTAGGTAAATCCCCACTTTTACCCCATCCTTCCCCCGTCACCCTGTCCTCTGCACCCAGCCTCTAGGCTTGGGTCTTTGCTTTCTTTTAATGGTTTTTGTTGAATTTTGGAGAAGTTTGGCTGTCAGTAAACTTCATGTTGAAATGTACACATGCGCAGACAAGCACAGGAATCCTGTGTGCGAGGCTCTCGACCAGCTCTCCCTCCCCACGAGTGGCTTGGATCAGCAGAGCCTGCTGTGCTTTTCCTGGATGTGAGCATTGGCTCTGACCCTTTCAAAATCAGGCTTCGGAGCCGGGCAGTGGTGGCGTACACCTTTAACCCCAGCACTCGGGAGGCAGAAGCAGGTGGATCTCTGTGAGTTCGAGGCCAGTCTGGTCTACAGAGCGAGTTCCAGGACAGCTAGGGCTACACAGAGAAACCCTGTCATGAAAAAAAAAATCTGACTTTCTTTGCTATGAATTGGTTGTGAGGTTCATCAGCGGCGGGGTCATTTGCTTATATTTTCATTGTTCTTTATTATTTTTCTGTGTGAGTTTTCACGGCGTCCAGTGACCTCCAAGTCCGTCTGTGCTTCCTGACAGCCGTTTAAATAAAAAGCAAGAGGTGTGTGGTGTCCCTGCTCTAGTGTGTCCCGCAAGGTGGTCTGATAAGTTGTCAGAAGTTTGTGACATCTCAGTACCAGTCTTCAGCCTGTGGTGTGTGGTGGTGGTGGTGGTGGTGGTGGTGGGGTGTGTGTGTGTGTGTGTGTGTGTGTGAGTGGTGTGTAGGAGTGTGCATGCCGCAGCACAAATGTAGAGGTCACAGACGACTCTCTGGAGTCAGCTCTCTCCTTCTATCCTTCCGCATATTCCAGGGCTCAAACTCAGGTCACCAGGCTTGTGCAGCAAGCTCCTTTACCCACTGAACCATCTTGCTCGCCCAGACCAACCCAGTTTTAGCTTTTCTCTTGCACCAGCATGAAATTCCTTGGGAAATTTTAGTTCCTTGGAAGCCACTGTTAGAAAGGAATGGCACAAGGGTAGACTGTCCCTGCACCTGCAGGGAGCTTGTCTGCTTTCTTAAACTTTAAAAATTATCTGGGAAATTTGTTTGGGATATAAAATATTTTTAAATTGTTACTAAAGGGCTGGGAACATGGCTTAGTTGGAGCTCTGGGTTCCATCCCTAGCACTATGTAAACTGAGTTTGGTGGTGGAGGCAGGAGGATCAGGAGTTCAAGGTCATCCTCAGTTGTTACAATGTAGGATGCCACATCTCAGTTCTGGCTGTGGAAAGCTCTTAGCTTGACACATTTTGTTTACATTGAGTAGCTGGAATGCAGAAACCAAAAAAGTATCCTTCCTACTAGCTCGATCCAGGTCAGTTTCTAGAACCCTAGAAGAGTCTGGTTTTCACTAGCAAATGGCAGCTTCACATTGGGTAGTCCTGATATGTTGTCATTCATGTGAAAATAGATGGGTTACACTACTGCCCAAGCACTTGAGAGACAAAGGAAGGTGGATCTCTTGAGTTTGAGTTCAGTGGGAGGAGAGAACTGACTCCGTGTCTCAAGGAAGGAAAGGAAAAGAATGGAAGGAAGGAAGGAAATAAGGAAGGAAATAAGGAAGGAAATAAGGAAATGTGCTACACTGCAGCCTAGTCTGGCTCTTCCCTCAGGGACTGTCTTCATTTCTCTTTAGTTTCTTCCTGGTGCCTCCGTCCCTTGTCACCTTGTGCTGTGGAGGACTGTCTGCAACTTTGGCAGGCATGGAAATAGTCTTTTGATCTCTTGGAAGCACCTTTCTCTCCTGGAGACCAAATGGCAGTCTCTTGGGCTCCTCCCATATTTCTGATTTTCATCCTTGCTCCTAATGCTGCTGTGCGCAGTGTCCAGTTGCTGTGTCTTTCCCCTCGGTCTGTGCGCTCTTCTTGACCCCAGCTGGATCTGACTCTAGCACCTGTGGGTGTAGCAATCACTCCCTCCCAGCTATATCTCTCCAAGCTGTTTCTCTCCTCCAGACTGCAGAAGCAGCTTACGGAAACTCCCTGGGATTTCTAATCAATGCCTGCATCCACGCAAGTCCACTTTCCCACCTGTCCTATGAGTGCTTGGCCCTTCCTGGCTTAGGGCAAAAGCCCCAGAGTCCTTTCTGTACTTTCTCTCACCCTCCATCAGGACGCACCGTCCACTCACTCCCGGCTCTGACCCAGGGTCCAGCCAGTGCTCCTTGGCTCTCTGTGCTACCTCTGTCTGGGTCACTATTGTCTCTTGCCTGGATCATTACCAGTTGAGTCTGCTTGCTGTCCCACTGTCTGCTGGCTTTCTGCGGAGCAGCCACACTAGTTCCTCAGCAATCCCCTTTTCCTTCTGATGAAATCTCCAAAGTTCTTCTGGGAAATGCCTAAAAGCCTTGCGCGCCTGGTCTCTCCTGGCCATGCCTTTTTCCTTTAAGCACGGTCTTGGTGGGAAGGTCTGAGGCCAGTCAGAACGTGTTCCTTGTGGGAAACTTGGCTTTTTCTGAGTCAGTCTGTGCAGTGTGACCATGCGTCCAAGCTCTCTCTGCCCAGACACTCAGCATGCTCCCCAGTTATGTTCCTGTTTTGGAACTGTGATTATCTTGCTCCTTTCCTGTTGAATTGGATAAAGCTTGGTGTGTTTGTTAATTCATTTGCCACTGGTGTTTTAGCCCAGAGTTCATTTCCTGAGTCTCCTTGTCTGGTGCAGCTCTATCGCTATGTAGTTTTGTGTTTTAAGTGTGTTACTAGTGTGAAATACTGGGGGGTGGGGGAGTAAGGTGCTTGTTTTTCTGGTGTGTTTTTCATTTTCCTCCAGGTTGGGTTTTCCTCTTTCTTTTCTCCGACAGTGCCTGACAAATCTTTTCACACTGGGTCTGCTTGACTTGGACAGTTTGATGAAGCGGCTGAGCTCATCTTCTAGGTCCCCAGTGCCAGAGGAAAGCTAGTCCTGTGTTTGCATAACAGCCGTAGTATGATTGGGGCACATTGTTCTCTGGGATTCGTCTTCTTCAACTTTAAAATGTGAATAATGAGACGTTCTGCCTTTTAGAGTTGTTGAGTGACTTTTCTCATCCCTGTGACCAGTAGGAAGGAAAGGTTTGTTTTAGGGGGACACAGCCCATCACAGAGGCAGAGCTGACTCAGTCAGGAGCGAAGAGGTGAATGGGGTGCTCGCCTCACTTTTCTTTCCATTCAGACCCCAGCCCATGGGGTGGTGCTGCCCACGCACAGGGTGCATCTTCCCCCATCAAACCTCTCTGGAAACGCCCTCCCAGACACGCCCAGAGGTGTGCTTCCATGGTGACCCTACATCTAGTCGTTGACCATGAAGATCACCAGTACAGGGGCCAAAGGAGATGAGACTGAAAGTCCTGGCTGACTCCCAGCACTCTCATCACATGCAATGGCCCTGGAAGAGACTGTCCCTTGGGATATGTTTTATTCAGATTCTGAGACTAAAAGCCTTGCTGTATGCTCTGCCTAGAGGCTGGAGGCTGGGCACAGCTGCCTCTGAGAGTCAGCTGGTGAAGGAAGTGGTCTAACTTGGGGATTCTAGCTCTTGTCTGTCCTGAAACTCGTTGGCATTTTGGGCGATGGGCTGAGTCATTCAGGAGAACCGGCCATGCTCCTGTGGAATCTCTAGGTTTATGAGGACTTCCTTGAGACCTGAGGAGTGGAGACCACAGGCTAGTCCACACTTTGCCCATGTCCTCAGAGTCCACCGATGGGAAAGGACAACATGGATATTGTCAGGGCAGATCCCCCGCCCGTGAGTGTGTCATCCCTGTTCAGTTTGCTTCTGTCTGAACTGACTCAGGGCTGTAGCTTTCCTTCCGTTCGTGTGACCAGGTGGGTGGAATCAGCATCCATTCTAAGTTGCCTCCAAATGGTCCACCTCTGTTCTCGGGTACCTCTTCCCAAAGGGCATAGACTAAGGGCAAGCATCAGTTAGTTGTTTATTGTCTAATAATGTAAACCTTCCCCCCTCTCCCTCCTTCTCTCTCTCTCTCTCTCTCTCTCTCTCTCTCTCTCTCTCTCTCTCTCTAATCTCTGTACCACTGAGCTATGTCCTGGTTCATTTTGTATTTTTATTTGAGACTGCTTTTGAACTGACCTCATAGTCCAGGCAGACCTTGAACTTAGGATTCAAGTAGCTGGGACTCAGGCCCACGCCTCTGACTAGGCTTCTGGTTTCCTTCTTGTTGTGCTGTTCCTTTGCTGGGAAAGCATCCTTCTCCTACCTTCATGATCCAGATATCTTGTGGTTCAGAAAAATAAAAGGAAAAACAGTCCCAAACATTCCTGGGCTCCACCCTGGGCGCCCTGGCTCAAAGCACCTGGAAAGGACCCAAAGGTCTGCTTTAAAAGTCCCCCGTGGTTCATAGGGTAGGCCAGGTCTTAGCCAGCAGCCTCATAAACTCCTGTTTCCCTCTTTCCTTCCCCTTAGTCTACCAGAAGAGCTGGTTTCGTGGAGGATGCACACTGTGAGGGCGATGTTTTGTGAGCTTCCCTGCATGCTTGTTTTTGTTTAAAAAAAAAAAAAGTTTAATACAATCCAGGAAGCTCGTCCCCAGGGCAAGGGGTTGGGAAAAAGAGACTTGGACTTGGGGCTTTGGAGGTGCCTCAGTGGATAAGAATGTCTGTTGGTCAAGCCTGAGATGTGAGTTCAAATCCTAGCACCCACAGAAATAGCTGGGCATACCCATTCATGTCTATAGTTACAGGGCTATAGTTACATAGCAGCCGTATGATTGGGCACATTGTTCTCTGGGATTCGTCTTTTCCAACTTTAAAATGTGAATAATGAGACGTTCTGCCTTTTAGAGTTGTTGAGTGACTTTTCTCATCGCTGTGACTAGATAGATGGAGTGGAGACTAGATAGATGGTCACCGGGGCTTGCTGGCTGCCAGCCCGGCTCCAGGTTCTGTCTCAAGGAGACAAGGCAGAGAGAGGAAGAACAGGACCCATACTGACTGCTGGCCCTGCATGTGGACGTGTGTGTGTGTGTGTGTGTGTGTGTGTGTGTGTGTGTGTGTGTGTGTGCGCGTGCGTGCTTGGATGCAAATACACATCACACACACTTTCACCCAGGCTTTTGCAAGCAAGTTGAGAGTAGGCATGCTGGAGCATACTTTTAATCCCAGCACTCGGGAGGCAAAGGCAGGTGGATCTCTATGAGTTCGAGGTCAGCCTGGTCTACATAAAATGTTGCAGGCCATCCAGGGCTACATAGGGTCTTAACAGAAAATCATGCATGCCAGGTCTTTGATCTTGTTTAAGAATTAATGGTAGAAGGCGATTTCCATGCCTGTGGTTGTGCATGGTGGCACACATCTTTAGTTCCAGCAATCAAGGCAGAAGCAAGCAGATCTCTATGAGTTTGAGGCCACGCTAGCTACATATTAAATCCCAGGAAAAAGAGAACCTTTTTTTAGCTGGGCATGATGGCCGAGGCCTATAATTCCAGCACTGAGGAGGCTGAGGCAGGAGGATCACCCCAAATTCAAGGCCAGCCTGGACTACAGAGTAAGCCTTTAAGTTGTATTTGTTTGTTATTGGGGGCAGCCACAGTGTACATAGGGCAGCCTGTGAGACTCCCACAGTGTACATAGGGCAGCCTGTGAGACTCGGTTCTCTTCTTCCATGGGGCGGGGGTGGGTGCCAAGCTCACGTCGTCAGACCTGGTGGCTGGCCAGCTACCTTTACCCACTGAGCCTTCTTGCTAGCCCTTCCGAGCAGCGTTTGCCACATGGAGTCAGGTTCAGCTTTCCTCGGTTCCATGTACCATCGAAATTATTTGTATGACTGTGCAGATCTAGAAGCTAAAGAGAAAATGTGGGTTTAAATCATTGATTTTTTTTTAAAATCACAGTTTTGAGAATGTGAGATGTGAACTTAGAAGTGGTGTTTTCGATTTGTAAGTTACGGTTAACAAAAGAACAGTTACTATTGGAAACTGCGCACTAAAAATACCTGGAGTGCAGCCACAGGGCTCTTCGATGCTCCCAGCTCCCATACACAGAAGAATCTGTGCTCACCCTGTCCATTCCGATTGTCCCCTCCAACCTGACTCTGGAGTGGCCTTGTTTTACTATATTGTCTCTGAGAGACTGACAAGGGGTCTTTCCATATGAAGTGCTTCCCCCCAACAATACACACCCTTACAGAAAATGTTGCTTTTTAAATCTGTGTTTATTAGGTAAATCTGCTACATATCCACATGTGTGTAGAAGAATAGTCTATGTGTGTAAGTGTATGTACAAATGACATAGGTGAATTTCCTGTCATCTGTTGAAGATGATTTTTTAACGTTGTTTTGTTTTGCTTTGTTTTGTTTTATTTTTTGAGACAGGGTTTCTCTGTGTAGGTTTGTAGACCAGACTGACCTCGAACTCACAGAGATCCACCTGCCTCTGCCTCCCGATCCTGGGATAAAGGCATGCGCCACCACCGCCCGGCTTTGTTTTTTTATTATATGATGTGTGTGAGGGGGTGTATACCATGGAATAGAGGTCAGAGGGCAGCTCTGCTGAGTCAGTTTTTTTCTTCTACCATGTGGGTTCTGGGGAATCAAACTCAGGTCACTGGGCGTGGTAGCAAGCTGCCTTCACCCCCTGAGCCATCCTGCTGGCCCCACAAATGGGTTTTAATTGTGCAACTTTATGAATTTTTTAAAAACCAGCAAAGGGCACACATCATCTTTCATTCCTAATTTCTCTGTATGTTTCCAAAGATGATGACATGTCTGCATTTTTGTCTTAGGAATCTTTCAAAGAAATACCAACCCAAGAAGAACTCTAAGGAAGAAGAAGAATACAAGTATGTCCGTTGCTGGTGGATGTGTGGTGGGCGGTGGCTGTGAAGAAGGGGAGGAAACTGTATGTTGTCACAGAAGTCCCATCCCACCTTCCTGTCTGTGTCTGTTTCCAACTTGGGGGCGACAATGAGACTTTAGCCTCCCTGGCCCTGAGCCACTGGACCCACTCCAGATTCCACGAAACTAATTAGGAAAGTTTTAGGGAGCCCTGCAAGCATGTGCAGTCAGCAGTTCTCAACCTTCCTAATGCTGCGACCCGCTAATGGAGTTCCAGATGTTGTGGTGACTCCAACCAGAAAGTTGTTTTTGTTGCTTCTTCATCACTGTTATTTTGCTGCTGTTGTAAATCTTAATGTAAATATCCAAGTTTCAGCCCCTGTGAAAGGGTCATTTGAGAACCCACAGGTTGAGAACCATTGTCCTAGAGTCTGGCTCTGGAGAGTCAGGAGCCCTAACTGTTCGTCCATCCAGGAACTATGTCTGTCTCGGTCAGCAGTGATGGGCCATTGTGTTGGTGAAAGCATCCTCTTGGTGTAGGTCCAGGTGTCTGGTGTATTCATTCAGTGAACACGGGTGGCTTCTAGGCTCCAAATGAACACAGCCAGGGACTGCGTTTCGCAGAGCATCTGCAGCCATGTTTGGGCTGTAATTGATTCAGAGCTGCTGTGTAATGAACCAGCAAGATCCTATGGGAGGCGGGTGCAGAGCTGGCTGATTTTAATTACTATTTCCTCAAGTAAGACGTGAGGATGGAGGTGGACTTGTCTGAGAAGGAGCCGGTGTGCTCTGTCCCCAGGTACACGGCATGTAAAGCGTTTCTTTCCACCCTGAATGAGATGAATGACTATGCCGGGCAGCACGAGGTCATCTCCGAGAACATGACGTCACAGATCACGGTAGACCTGATGCGATATGTGCAGGAGCTCAAGCAGGAAAGGAAATCGGTAATGTATGCTGGGGTGCCTTCCCCCAAAAGATCGACAGGGTGTTTTGTGTTTTCCCATTAGATAGCCACATGGGGTTGGGTGTGGTGGCTCGCACCTATACTGGGCTACACAATGAGTTCCAGGCCTGCAAGGCTGCACAGTAGGACCCTGCCTTAAACAAAAACAGAGGGGCTGGGAGCAGGTACATACTGCATGCCTTAATCTCAGTACTTGAGCAGTTGAGGAGGCAGGTGATCTCTATGAATTCAAGGCCAGCCTGGTCTACATAACAAGTTCTAGTTCAACCAGAGTGACATAGTGAGACCCTGTCTCAGAAACAAACAGGGGCTGGAGAGAGGGTTCATTAAGAGCACTGGCTGCTCTCGCAGAGGACCCCAGGTTTGGTTCCTAGCACCCACATAGTAGCTCACAGCTATCTGTATCTCCAGTTCTAAGGGGTCCAAGGCCTTCTTCTGACCTCCTTGGGTACAAAATACAAATGCGATTCACATATGTACATGCAGGCAAAATACTCATACACATAAAGATAAATATGAAATAAACAAAATTAGAATCAGGTGTAATGGTATATGGAAGGTTGAGGCCAGCAGACCAGAAATTAAGGCCTCTGTGTGTGTGTGTGTGTGTGTGTGTGTGTGTGTGTGTGTGTGTGTGTGTGTGTGTGTGTTACATAAGGATGCTAATACATGTCATGATGTGTATTCAGAGGTCAGCAGACAACTTGGAGGAGTTATATCCCTTTACCTGCTGAGCTGTCTCACTTGAGCCTGGTTGGTGTCCTTTGTCAGTGGAGGCTCAAAGGGCCCGCTGTTAGACCTCCCACCACATCCAATTAGCTGGCCCACGAGTCCACAACTCCAGCGTTGAGGAACCAGCTGTGTATCGGAGCCCTAAACTTGACAACATTCTCTACTGAACCAGCCATTAAGGAAGGCATTTTACTTGTTTACTGTTTTTCAAGACAGGGTTTCTCTCTGTAGCCCTGGCTGTCCTAGAACTTGCTCTGTAAACCAGGTTGGCCTCAAACTCAGATACCTGCCTACCTCTACTCCTGAGTGCTGGTGCATCCCCACCGCCCAGTGAGGCATTTTATTTTGTCAGACATCTAGGATGCAGTGAGACAGAACCATTGGGCTTAGAAGGAAACCTTACCACCTACTATAAAGACAATAAACACACGGACTCAGGTGGCAGCCTTGGCCTGCTGCCCTGCTTTCAAACTTGCCTTGACGTTTGCAAAGGTTTCTCTCTTCATCCTGTCAAGGGCTCAGCTGTGTTCTCACCACCGACCCTCCTCTGCCACAGGACAGCATTTTCGCCGGCTCCCCAAACCAAAACTGCTTTTCCCTTCTTAGCCAATGTCCGTTCTGTTTTAGGACTGAGTCAGGAGGTGGGAAGGGCCTCAGGGCGGCACCCCTCCCCCAGGCCTCTTCTCCAGCTGTGCTATTGTGGCTGTGCACTCTGGCCTCAGGACCTTTGTACAGGTTTTTCTCCTCAGAAAGCCCTCTCCAGACACCTCAGGGCCCATTCCTTAGGAATGTTCCCTTCTCAGAGCAGACTTTCCCATCTGCCTCACAGTGAACCAAGTTCCCCCGGCCTCTCCTGTTTCACCTTCCCCTGCTTTGCAATGGTTTTGTTTTTAGAGACTGGGTCTTTTTATGTAGTCCTGGGTGAACTGGAACTCAATATATAGACCCGCTGGCTTCAGAGATCCTCCTGCCTCTGCCTTTGAGTGCTGGAGTTAAAGGTATGTGTCACCATATCCTGCAGCTTCGCCATGTTTTTATTTTTTATTTTTGTTGTTGTTTGGTTTTTTGAGACAGGGTTTCTCTGTAGCTTTGGAGCCTGTCCTGGAACTTGCTCTGTAGACCAGGCTGGCTTTGAACTCACAGAGATCCGCCTGCCTCTGCCCCCTGAGTGCTGGGATTAAAGGCATGTGCCACCAACGCCCGGCTTCCCGTGTTTTTAAAGGGAGAGTCAGAGTCAGAGTCAGTCGGTTTGTATGTGTGCAGATGTCCTCTGAGGCCAGAAGACAGCATCTGATCCCCTAGAACTGGAGTTAACAGGCTGTTGAAAGTTGAGCCATCCAACATGGGTGCTGGGAACTAAACTGGGTCCTCCTCAAGAGCAACAGCATTCTTAACCTCTGAGCCACCTCTCCAGTTCCTGCCATTACCCCTTACATAGTACTTAACAGTATCTAGATTTGGGGGAAAGTTGGAGAAGAGCTGGTGACAGGGTCTTGTGCGTGCTGGTCACCCCCCCCCACACTAGCCCTGCCCCCACAGCAGCAGGAGGCGGAGTTGCTTGCTGTCTTTTCTCCTACCTCACACAGGATGCCATGGCCCACCTTATCAGGTCCCGCATTGCAGAAGGCAGGTGCGCAGGAAGTGCAGGGGGAGAGGGGAATAGCAATGGCTGGGAAGCCTCGGGTGTGGCCCAGGGCTGGGAGAGCAGTGCGATGGTGAGCACTTTCCTGGGTTCACCAGTGAGGGGCCAGGGGTGAGGCTCAGTGCTGCACACTTGCCTCTCATGTGCAAAGCACCGGGTTCCCTCCCTAGTGTGTGTGCATGCGTGCACATGTGCACACAGACACACACATACACACAGACACACACCTTGTACTAATGTCTACTTAGTTCTAAAAGCTTATAAATAAGGACCTTCAAATGCCTTTGCTATCTTGTAAATAGATTATCCTATTTGCTCATTGTTAATTGTCTTTTTATAATCTGTTATATCATCTCTTAACCCATATTGCTTAAAAGTTTTTTTTTATTAAGATTTACTTTAAGCTGGTGATGGTGACATAAACACCCCTTTAATTCCAGCACTTGGGAGGTAGAGGCAGGTGATCTATTGAGTTCAAGGCCAGCCTGGTCTACAGTGTGAATTTCAGAACCATTAGGGCTACATAGAGAAACCCTGTCTCAAAAAAACAAAACCAAACAACAACAGCAAAAAAGACTTTTTTGTTTTATGTGTATGAGTGTTTTTGCCTACCCATGTTCCTGGTGATCAGAAGAGGATTCTAGATCCCTTGGAACAGAAATCACAGACTGAGCAGCCAATGCTCTTAACCACTAAACCATCCTTTTGTTTTTAAGGAGAGTCACCAGTCCAGGCCCAGGAGTCATATGTTCTGTCAGGAGGATCTGCAAATACCACTGTATTTGTTAAAGCATTCTGCAATTAAATTAAACTGACGTTTAAGAACATTTGGAAATCTCGAGAAATATTGGAAAGAATGTCTGTCAACAAATACATATTTGTAGTATTTTCACATGTGGTGTTGTGAAGCATCTCTTCTTTCCTATATCATAGCTACCACCCTTTTGAAGGAATGTATAGCTCAGTATGGTTAAACAGCAATTGGGAGGTTACAAATTGGAGCATGGAACTGAATACCTAGCAAGACACTGCCTCAAAAGTGTGTGTGGCTGGGCGGTGGTGGCACACGCCTTTAATCCCAGCACTCAGGAGGCAGAGGCAGACAGATCTCTGTGAGTTCGAGGCCAGCCAGGTCAAAGCAAGTTTGAGGCCACCCAGGCACCCAGGACTGTTTCACAGAGAAATCCTGTGTGTGTGAGAGAGAGAGAGAGAGAGAGAGAGAGAGAAGGAGGGAGGGAGGGAGGGAGGGAGGGACGGAGGGAGAGAGAGAGAGAGAGAGAGAGAGAGAGAGAGAGAGAGAGAGAGAGAGAGAGAGAGAGAGAGAGAGAGAGAGAGAGAGAGCGCACAGGGTGGCTCAGTGGATAAGACCTCAGCCCTCAAGGCTGATGACCTAAGTTTGATCCCCACGATTCACATTGTTCACATTGTAGAAAGAAAGAACTGACTCCTGCAGGTTGTCCTCAGACCTCCACACACAAGATGTGCACACACACATAGACACAAAATAAATTTAATAAAATAAAAAAGGCAGTGATGGAGCATACTTGGGAGGCAGAGGAAAGAAGATCATGGACTTGAGATTTTCCTCAGCTACACAGTGAGTTTGTGGCCAGCTTGGGCTGCAAGAGATCCTAGCCTAAAGCTTGGGCTGCAAGAGATCCTGGCTCAAAGACAGAGAGGTGTGGTGGCGCACCCCTTCAGTTCCAGCCCTTGGGAGCCAGAGGCAGGCAGAACTCTGAGTTTTAGGCCAGTCTGGTCTACATAGCAAGTTTCAAGACAGCCAGGGCTACATAGTGAGATCCTGTCTCAAAACAAAACAAAGCAAAAAGCTTAGAGGGCTATGTCCTGTGGGTGTGTTAGTACACTGATGATCTGGGGGATTGGTTAGCCCTGCACTCATTCTGTATCAGTAGCCAGCATTGGCTGTGACTTCAGGTTAACCCTCCCCAGTAGGAGGTCTGTGATGCTACCCAGTGCTCAGGAGCCTGGAGCATATGGAGGTGCTACGGGTCTGTGGGGTCACACAGGGTCCAGCTGAGAGTGACACCCAGGCATCGTGGACCTCAGGGCCAAGCACAGCTCACATGGTTTTATTTCATTAGTGTTTTCTCTAGCTTACCCACAAGGCCACTGATTGCACGATGCAGCTCCTGCCTGCAGACCTTCTTCTCCGGGTCCCCAACTTTCCTTAGTGGCACAAGCCAGATGATATCACTTCCTGGTTTCTGCTGAGGTCAGAACAAAACCCCACAGACACTTGGTTCTGTCTTAGGAGCTGGACGGTGCTGGGTCTGTAGGACTCTGCTGGTGAGAACAACTCCATGGAGTGTTCTTTTCCTTCCACTTCTATGTAGCTTAGAGGGACTGAACTCAGGTTGCCGGGTTTGTGCGGCAAGCACCTTTAACTTGCTGGCTGAGCCGCCTCGCCAACTGTAGTTTGTATCCTCAATTCTCTATTTAATAGAGGAGTGTTTTCCATGTGACCCTGGAAAACAGATTGTTTTTTTGTTTTTTTGTTTTTTTTTTTTTTTTTTTTGGTTTTTCGAGACAGAGTTTCTCTGTGACTTTGGAGGCTGTCCTGGAACTCACTTGGTAGTCCAGGCTGG